TCCCGACAGGAGGAGAGCATCCGAGGAGGTAAGACATTTGCGTCACATTTCCTGGTCTCAATCCTTACTTACATTTGTTTTATTAGTAGCGCGGCTGGAATGAAATTAATGGCATTCTTCGTAACGAAATAACCATTTATGACGACAAGGTCGTGAATATTTACAATTCTTAAAGTAATCAAAAAACAACTTTTGCAATTTGTCTTTGAACAGTGATGAACGTGGGATTTTTTTCACAATCTCCACTGTTTCTCTTCTTTTAACAGTTTCCTTCTCTTCTATTCCCAACCTTCTTTTGCTTAAAACACTGGCATAAATGAAATAAGGAGCCTGAGCAATCCAAAAGCCTCAGCATGTGTCAGGCAGCACTGTAGTGCACAGCATTAGCAGTTCTTTATTGGACTCGCTTGATTGAGTTTCTATTGAACTGAAATATATTTTTATACTTACTGATGTTAACGCAGCGTGTTGTCTCATATCACTTAATTTTGTCGTGTAATAAATGTTTCTTGTATAATGTTATGCAGACCCTTCTGATGTTTTTGAGATTTGTGTCACTTTTTTTTGTCAAACATGAAAAAATTTGTTAGAATATTTTTCCCTGCAGTGAGAACGCAGATCGCGTGGTGTCAGTGTAATCCAAACAGGAAGCCTTGCACGAGTTTCCCACCAGGGTTGTTTGGTTCCATTTCTTTTTTCGCGGCCGTTGTTGAGCTTACTACCGTGTTTCTTTGGCATTATGTCCGTCATTGTAGACAGAAGATGAGTATTTTCATATAAGGAACGTTTGGATTTTGTCGTTATGTTGCAGCAAACGATTATCTGAAGGCATACTTGTGATCTACGGTGTAACCATGGAACAAAGAAGACACGAGAGGCGAAGTGGGAGAGGATCTTTCCTTAGCTGCATGGCTGCTGTGCTTTTGTGTACTGTGGCTTCGGCGCAGATGCGATATTCAGTCTCGGAGGAGGTTAACGAAGGGACTGTGGTAGGAAACATCGCAAAAGATCTGGGAATAGATAAAAGCACGTTAAAAGAGAGAAAGTATCGGATTGTTAATAGTGATGTAGATCCCCTTTTCCATGTAAATCCAAATGACGGTATCCTGTATGTGAGCCGGAAGATTGACAGAGAAGAGGTGTGCGCGGAGAGCACTTCGTGTTTAATAAATCTGAAAACTGTACTAGAAAACCCGCTGGAGATACATTACGTTGCAGTGGAGGTGTTGGATGTAAATGACCACTCTCCTCGTTTTCCACAGGAAGAGAAAAGGCTGGAAATTTCAGAGTCTGCGTTACCCGGTGTACGTATACCGTTACAGCCCGCACGAGATCCAGACGGCGGTCCTTTTACCATTCAGCAGTATAAACTTAGCTCAAACGACCACTTTCGGTTAGAAGTAAAGGATAAGGGAGAAGATGGGAAAATACCAATATTAATTGTGCAGAAATCTTTGGATAGGGAAGCAGCGGGAACCCATTCATTAGCACTGACGGCCCTGGATGGGGGCAAACCTGCTAAATCTGGAGAGATGTCAATTTTAATATATGTTTTGGACATTAATGATAACGCACCTGTTTTCTCCCAAGATGTTTATTCTGTTACGCTTAATGAAAATGCTCCTGTAGGTACAGTAGTCATCCAAGTGAATGCAAC